CCGTCTATTGTTTCTGTCTGTCTATCTTGCTTTTCCACTGCAAGAAATGACAGTTAACCCTATCCGTACCTGGGGTTGTATTCTTCACATTTTAGAATACTTCTAGTACAAAGATCTCTTGAAAACTTTCAGTATTTCTCAAAAAATAATTTTGACAGACTGCTATGCAAAGCGTACGGATCAGATTAATGAGACACGTTGTACGGATAGGGTTAAGGAGTTGATGCGCTGCTCCTTACTCAACATTCAAAACTTTCTGTTACGTTTGTCCTGGACTTTCCTTGCACTACTTGAATGTTGTTGTAGTGAAGTACGTTCTCTTACTCAAACTAAACCTGGATCGCTAACAACAACAACAACTCAAACTAAACTGTCCACTACCTGACTCTCCCCTTCCCTTACTCCAGGTTCCTGGCTGTTCGTAAAAAGTTCATGAATGAGCTGAAGGAGCTGAAGCTGCGCGACCAGACGCCGTATACAGCACAGAGCATCATCAGCCTGCTCATGGGACTCAAGTTCTTCAGGGTCAAGGTATAGTGTGTGTCATTAATGGTGTCTTTGTCACATAGATTTTATTACTGGAAATGTGTGAAATGCAGTTGTTATGTTGATCATTTATTTGAAAATGTGGTTGTAAATGCTGACTCAAGTAAAGTCTGTCATGATAACAAACATAATAAATGTATCGGTTATCGTGCTGAAATTTGACAGGACACATGGCTGTAATGGTGCTTGTTTACTCTAAATCTGATGACTCAGGACATGCTTCTTCTTTTGTATTACTTAAATTGTGCCATGCAATGTTTGCCTCGATGCCAGTTCATACCAATAGTATTTTCTCCCTCTCCTTGAAGATGCACCCCATCGAGGAGTTTGAATTGTGTGTCCAGCTTCTGCTGGAACTGGGTCACTACTTCCTGGAGGTCAAGGACAGGGACATTAAACATGCGCTGGCTGGTCTCTTTGTGGAGATTCTGCTTCCTGTGGCTGCTGTAAGTTGTGATTATATTGTGATTTCTTTTTTGTCTCGATGAAGCTTCTGCTTCTCCCAGGTTTTCCCAGAATTTTGAGAGCATGTTGGGCTTGCCAGTATTTCATTGATTGCACAAGAAAAAGGAGGACTTGTAATGTTTTTTAGTCGTGGAGAGCAAGATCAACCTGAATCTTTTATTTGTTTTGGAAAGTGTCAATATGTTTGGGTCTTCCAACTGAAGATGTGTCTGATTCTCTTGTCTTTTGTAAAATTTAGATTTGCTCATGTTGTCAGAGTGCTTCCTTCATTAGCTCAATTGGTATCTGCGGAGAGGGTGAGGCTGGTTTGAATCCCTGCTAGATGTTCTTGAGCTCTGGTCGTTTTGTGGGTTTTCAAGACACTCAACTCATTTACCATTTTGCTCTGTCTGTCGGAGATGGATGTTAAATTTGGAGGTCTTGCCTCTTAAATAACTTAACAGTGTTGAAGAAGGCGTTGATTCCATACACTTACTTACTTTACTGATGTTGTTGTCTCTTAGTTCATGTGCTTTCGTCATATCTTTTTGCTAATAATTCAGACATTTCTGAAAATAGGGTCACATTTTAGAATCTAATCTTTCTTGTTTTTATATATTTATTTATTTCTTTGTTCAGACTGTGAAAAACGAGGTGAACATCCCAGTCCTGAAGAAACTGGTGGAGGATTTGTACACAGTCACAGTGGATATGGCTACAAAGCGCAAACACACACTGGTGGGTAGATGTGTTACACGCAGGAGTTTGTATTTGTGAGATGTGTTGTCTACATGGTGCGCTGATTGTCTGTAATTGTGTGATATCTGGGTATGTCATAACTTTGACGGATTATTCAGCGTATGTATTTATATGCATATGTGTGTCATATGTATCTATTAATATGCATAGACCCTCCGGGGCAGAACTACAGACTGAAGTGTCTTTAGGCCATTCCCATGTTCCTATGCACAGTAGAATTGTAAATGGGGTGATTCACCAATGTCATGCTCATAATTGCCTGAACTGCAACTGGGAACTGCTGCTTTTTCTTTCCTAATCCTTACTATCGTCATTTTTTCCTCTACTTCTTTTGTATGTTTGTCACACTCTTGTGACCCGCTATTTCCGGGGTGTCTTGATAGTTAAAGCAGACTTTGTGCTGTTGAAGCTAGAGAGGTGAACAGAGTGAGCCTGATTCCCTGTCAAGACTTCTCTGTTGACCTCCACCCCTTGGCGCTCATGACCTCATGCAGTTGCGAGCGCCGTAAAACTCCTACTAAAAAAACAAAACAAACTGATATGCATATATTATTTGTGTCATATGTATGTAAGTATGTAAGCCATCGTAAAGCAAATTTCCACATAACATCAATTTTTTTCTAGGATTTATCTACTCTTGTATGTTTTTTCCTCTCCATGTAATTGTGGCGGTGTTGTTGGCGTTGTGTGATGCAGCATCTGTTCCCCCTGGTGACGTGCCTGCTGTGTGTCAGTCAGAAGCAGTTCTTCC